CTGCTGGGGATCTTCTCCAAAGAATTAAAAGAATCATACCACAGTGATATATGCACACCCATGTTCATAGCAGCGCAGTTTGTAATAGCTAAAACTTAGACATCTTAATCTCCACCAAGATTAAGAAAAATAAAAAGGGAATATGAATGAGATAGACATCAGGTTTCTCATCTACTGTACTAAGTGCTAAAAGGCAATGGAGTAAGATTTATAGGATGCTGAAAGGAGAAAGACTGTGACCTAAGAATTCTAAATTTAGCTAAGTGATCAATACTGTAATTACCATTACTAAAGAGCAGAAGAAATATAGTAACAGACATAGAAAGACTAAAAAATATACTTTCTGCTTATCCTATCTGGAAATTATTTTTTAATATACATACTTTTATTTTTGTCTTCAAATATAACACAGGTACACATGTGAGTACATAGACTGCTCAAGTCCAGTAGAGGAAAGGTCACAAAAGATACATGAGAAACAGCCACACAGCATGATGGAAATAACAACCTTTCTTTTTTTTTTTGGTACCGGGGGTCGAACTCGGGACCCTGCGCTTGCGAGGCAGGCGCTGGAAGCACTGAGCTAAATCCCCGGCCCATCAACCTTTCTTAAAGAATAACCACATTCCATACAAATGAGAGGGTTGTGAAAGGGGGTTTTAAAGCTCAAAATTCTACAACTGTACTGAGGTATAATAATTGAAAATAGGAAGTCTTGCAGGTTTTTCTTTTGTCCCATACTTACTGAAGTCTTACCCTTTTCTCAGGTGGGCCTTTAGTGCTCAGTGTCTGTTGGACATTCTTTGTGTTCTCTTTCTCCTCAAATTTTACAAATTTCTGGTGTAGGATCTGGCTCCTTCTTTGTTTGATCCACTGGGACGGGCTTTTCTCCAGATTTTTGCTGCACAAATTTAGATGGAAATTTTTGTCTAAGGTCTACAAGTAAAGCATCCACACACTGTCTCTGAAAAATAGAGCTTGGTTCTTCTTTTCTTTTAGCTTTTGGTTTGACTTTACCTTGTTCTTCATGATCTTTGAAGTGCCACCAATACTCTTTGGAAGGATGATATCAACAATAAGACATAGCTTCATCAAAAGCTGACTGAGGGGCCAGGGATTTAGCTCAGAGGTTCCGCTGCCTGCCTCGCAAGCGCAAGGTCCTGAGTTTGATCCCCGGTACCAAAAAAAAAAAATCAACAAGAGGGATAACTTGAGCAGGGGACTGCTGCTGTTGCTTTCAAATGATGAAAAGAATTGGCTCTTGAGGATGTAAAAGGATGTACTCAACTCCAACCATCTGATTCAAGTGTTCTAATGTTAGCCTCTGCATTTTGACCACTTCATTATTACATGTCCTGTCATAAAAAGGATTACTTCTTTCTGAAAAGTAACCCAGAACACTACCACTGTTCAAAATGGGGATCCAAGAGCTGTCAACCCAAGAGATTCCTAGCAGATTATCTCTGATATCCACTGCAGCCGTAATTCCAAAACCGAATCGCTCCTAGACTCTCCTTCCGGCACCGAGTAAAATCTGGAAATTATTTTTAAGAAAGGGAGGATACACGCTCAAGTGAAAAAAATTAGAATGAAGAACTCAAGAAAATAAAAGATAGGAAAAGACATACAAAAGCATAAAACAAATAGTGAACAAAATAAAGCTAAAAAAGCTAGAGTGATCTAAATAATCCATGCTAGACCATAATGCCAATATTTAGAGAAGAAGCTTCAAGGAACACACTGCAAAAAAAACTTAATACGACCAAGTATTTCTCACTTCAACAAAATTTAGGAGATTAGAGGGAAGGAAGAAGCAAGGAAGAAAAGCTGCTGAAACACTCATGGCTTAGGGGAACTCCATTAATACTATTAAAATGATAAACAAGTTCAAAATTTAAATGAACCAATAAGAACAAAAATTATAACTTAAATCATAAAAAGAATATCTTTCTTCTTAAAAAAAGAAAAATTTATAAATAAAATGAAACAAATCTCTGGAAAAGGTGAACAAGAAGAAAATATGGCAATCTGAAAACCTAATACAAGATCAAAGATGAGGCCAAACAATGAACACTAATGGATAATGTTTCTGGATAACAGAAACCCTACAAACTAGGTGAAAAAGTAAATGCCACCCTTTTCCTGGGTTATTAAATGAGGCACTCTGAGCAAAAGTACCAGACATAAAGGAGTTGTATAAAAAGTATGTCCAGTATAAAGAAAGAAACAACAATCCAGGAACTGTGATAAACTGAGAACATTTTTTTTTTAATAAAGGAAAAAAGAAAACCCTACCAGATAAACACCACATTCATGATGGGATTGTAATTCGTATGTCTTGCTACCAGGCAGCTCTGACTTGAACACGTTATACTCTTTTTCTTTTTTTTTGGTACCAGGGATCGAACTTGGGTCCTTGCGCCTGCGCAGCAGGGAGCGAAACCACTGAGCTAAATCCCCAGCCCTGAATATGTTATATTCTTACTGGCTTGAACCACTGCTGGTACATGTGTGACTGTCCCATCAGGAAATAAGAGACAGTTCACTTGAGTGGTACAAGCCACCCAATGGGACGGTCATGCAAGTACCACCCAGTGGTTCAAGCCGGAGGGAACTTGTTGTTAAAACACAAAAAAAGTCATTAAAATAAAAAAATTAAAGTCTCATGATGAGCTGGCAAGAAAAGGAAATCCTCAGAAATCAAAAATGAGAAAGGGTATCATCTTAGACCCAGAAATTCTACTTTGAGCTGTTTATTCTACATTCATATGCTATAAAACAAATTACACATGGGCACAATAAATTCAAGATAGTTTTTTCAGTTTAGCATGTTATCTGGCTGCATATACTACAATATTAAAGTGATTTAAACAAATCACTGGTTCCAGGTTAAGTAACAACATTTTTAATGACTGGGGCTCTGTATGCCAAGTCTTTCATACTCTTTAATATATGAGGAACATCATGTTAAATGAATACAAGGTTTTAAAGATTGTATATATGATATGATCTTAGCTATATTAATAAGATCAAAGAAAAAAGAATCATGGGTAGATCCTTATTTCTTCCTTCTTAAATTGTTTTTATACTTTCCATATTTTTCATATGAATTGCAATATGTGTACAAATTAAAAAATATGTATAAGGTGGGCATGGTGGCACACACCTGTAATCCTCAGCACTCTGGACAGCTGAGGCAGGAGGGTCATAAGTTTGAGCCCAGCCTGGACAACTTAGTGAAGCGCTGTCTCAAAATAAAAAATAAAAAAAGGCTGGAGATAGAACTCAGTGTGAAAGCCCCAGGTTCAGCCCCCAGTACTGCAAAAACAACAAAACAAAACAAAATATGTGTATCAAAAAACTATAAGAGAAGTGTTACTACAGAAAAAGGGCTCAATCATCCCTTGACCATATTGCCGTAAGTTCTTTCCTCTTGTTTTCCAATTAGATTCTTGCATGCCAATTGCTCTACACATGAGGTTTCCTAATTTCCCCACCACACAATGAGCAGAGTGTATAAAAAGGCACAATGCTGTTGATGATAATCTTCGATGTACAATGTTAGCACTGTATAAGCTGAACAGTTCACAGAGCATTGTATGTGCCTTTATTACTGGCTGTAATCTTTATATTATAGATAGGTAAGTTAATTAGATATCTACTAGGCAGTTAGACAGGGTGGGTCCTCAAGAAGTCAACATGAAGGATAATGGAGACACATACAATGAAGGTCAATATTATAAAAAGAGAGAAACTACTACTCCCCTAGGAATGAAGAGTAGTGATTGATATTCTAACCAGGTATCAATCACCTGCGTGGGTGGGGGGCCAAAGACCTTAATCCATTCCTTCCAGAAAAGGTCCCTGACCCATCCCTTATCAAAAATCCTTGCTGTGTTCCTTGTAGGTAGACTTGCTTCCCCATTTGATCCTCATTTAATCAATATTATCTAAGTGATTATACTTGCTGTAATCTTATTGGTTGATCACAGTTTTCTCCCACCTCATACCTACTTTGTGATTTCCCATTGGCTCAATATTACCTAAGTGACTGTACTTGTAATCTTATGAGTTGACTATAGTTTTGTCCCACCTTGAACCTGCCTTACCTCCTGGCTTTGCTCCATAAAAACCCCCTGAGAAACAGGGTCCTAGGCAACCCACTTTCCAGTCCTCCTTTTGTCTCTCCTAGACAGAAGCTCTCTTTTTCTCAATAAATTTTTCCTACTCTTAACCTCCGCTGTTCCTAGAATTAATTCTTCAATTTTAGAGAACATGAACTCATGTTTCTAATATCTAACAGGTTTGGGAGTTACATCTATTCCCCCTATATAACATATAGATAAGAAAAATAAAAATAGACTGTTTTGTAGTGAGGAATCTTGAATTTCCATCATTCTAAAGCCTATCCCACAGCTGCATTAAATTGAGAAATGTAAATTCAACTGGCCCTAATGCCATCCCCTTTTCATGCACCATACTTCAGAAAGATAACATGAAAACAAAGTATACTGCATCAATTTCCAAGGAGCTCAAATTCCTTTAGATATTTCAGTAATACCAGTAACCATCTGTGCTCCTAAGTCTATTGTAGACCAAATGAAAGTTTAGCAACCAGAGCAAGCTGAGAGAAGCCTGTCAAGCACTGTCCATTTGCTGGACTTCCTTCTATTACCATCTCCCAGATGAGAACACCTTGCATGACTTTCCACATGGAGAGTAGCACTGGTTTCACAGACTTCTTCCAAGACTGTCTTCTGTACAGCTTAAAACTAAATATTTGAGTCTCTGATTTTCCATCTCAAGCTGTGGAGAACCCAAGAAATAATTGATTCATCATTCTCATTTTTGACACAAGGAAACTGTCAATGTAAAAGATGTACTGCAGTTATAAACAGAAAGAAATGTTCCATAGAGCACACAAAGATGTTTTCAAAGGAGGCCTAAATCCTGTAAGAATGTATCCTGCTGCTCAATCTTAAGAGTTATGATCTTATTTTTAAAACGCTAGTCAATCAGTTTCTAAGGCCCTTTTTATATACTGAAAATCCTCCAGTAAGAAAATTCCCCTTGGTTGAATAAAATGAGAAAGGCTGAGGAGTGTGGCTCAGTAGGATAGGGATTACCTGGCATGTGTGAGGCCCTGGGTTCCATGCCCAGCACTGGCAAAAAAAAAAAAAAGAAAAGAAAAGAAAAAGAAAAATTTAAATATAACTGCAAAGTAAAGCAGCTAATTACCACCTGTGAGACATCAAGGGCTCTATCAGGTCATCTAGTCTTTCCTTCTCCCATAAGGAATAAAACCAACCTTGGCGGGGGATTTTTTTGTTTTAAACTTTGCCTTTTTTGTTGTAGTTGTTTTTAGTGACTGGTAGAGGGCATTAAAGGTAGGAATTTGTAAACATCAAATTGTAAACAAAAGATTTGCTCAAATAAAATTTGTTAGAACTGTTTCACTTTGTTTCAAGCTTTGCCATGTTGACCACATAATTTATTAAATGTCATATGCTTTATATACAAAATTAAACAAACTATAAATATTCATGATGCTGTCCATGAAAATTAATGGTTTGAGCTGCACTGCTGGAGAAAGAAGAGGGAGCTCTCTACTGAGCCACGTACTGGGGAAGACACTCCAGTATTCCTGTGCGTATTGCCCCACCTCTGCTAAGTATGCATTAGAAACCCTCTTTCACAAAAGAGGCAACTGTCTCTTGGGAGGTTAAGTTGCTTAAGCCTCACAGACAACAGAAAGAGAAGCCAGAATTTGAACCAGACCAGTTTCATGCCATACCTTGCCTTCTTTCTGCTATGGAAATATACCACAAGCATTTATGGACCATGGAAAAAGATTCAGTCTTACTGTTGAATTACTGATGCTCTGAAGACCAACCTGTACTT